CTCGCCAGTCTCCTAGCCCTGCTCTCTGCTCTCTCCCTGGGCCTCTGGCCCCGCCCATTTCTCTCTCTGTTTCCTCTAGTTCTGTCAGCAGGTGAGCGGCACTCCTTGCTCAGTCTCTCCCTGTCAGGGGTCCAGCCTGGGGGTCCCTAAGGCCCTCCAAGGTCCCGGCAGCCCCTGGATTCCCATTCCAGCACAGCTGCTCACCAGCTGGGTGATCTGGGGCAAGTGGATTAACCTCTCTGAACCTCAGTGGTCTCAAAACTGAGACGAGCTGAGCTGTCAGCACCCTCAGGTGTGCTGCCCTGTCCTGCCTTCCTGCTGGCCAGGAAGTTCTATCATTAGTCTGACCTCAATTCCTCCTGCTGCAAAGCAGCATCTCCTCCAACCCTTACAAAAGGTGGCTTGCTGCCAAAGGCCAGGACCTTGTGGAAGCTCCCTCAAGTCCATGTTCTGGCCTTTTGGGCCTTTTCCCTGAGTGCTCCCGAGCTGAAACTGATCAGGGGTCGTATAGCCTGCTCGGGATCTGGGAGAGGGACAGAGACACTGCCCTCCGTACCCACTGAGCGTGATGCCCACCCCCAAAGGCCCACCCGGGCAGCACCAGACTTCTGGAGGATTCCTGAGTCCCTAAGCCTCCCACCTCTCTCCCAGCTTGTGGAAAATGGAGAGTCTGTTCCTGTCCTCCTTTCCTAAGCCTTGGGTGAATGGGGTCCTGGCTCCCACTCAAGGCCCAGGCTCCTCCACACCTCTTCCTCAGGGGCCTCCCTCCCTCACCCAGGCTCAGCCTCTCCATCCCAGGTCCTCTCAGGCCTAACTCCTGGCCCACCCCACCCCCAGCCACCTTCTCCTCTCTCTAGCCCTTCTCAGCCAAGCTTCTTGAATGAGCTGTCTTTACTCTTCAGCCCCCACTCGCCGCTCACTCCCCGCCCTCTGACCTTCCCGCACTCAATTCGCCCTGCGACCCTGCTCTCCCCCTTCTGGGAAAGGCTCCTCCTTGGATTCTTCTCTGCCCAGCCGGCAGACCCAGCTTGCCCCCAGGAGCTGGCTCAGGCCTCACCTCTTCCCTCCAGAGGTTCCTCCTGCGTTTTCCAGTTCTCACCAATCCCATCACCAAGGCCGCCCCACCTGCCTCCAGCTGCAGCCACTCCCCTGAGCCCCACACTCTGTGCTCAGTTTTGAGCTGAGCACCTTCACCTGGCTGGCCCTCAGCCACCTCCTCCACCACATCGCTGTCATTCCCTTCTCCTGGTTACTGGCTCCTCCTCTACTACTCCCAGGTGCCCAAGCCAGAAATCCGGCATCACTTCTGACCCTTCCTTCCTTACAGGGCAGTAAGGAATCTCTCTAGCCCATATAATGCCTTAGCGCAGTTGGAAAAGGCTCCTCCCAGACACCTCGGGCGCTACTCGCTGCCTTTCCTGGGTGTCCCTGAACGGTAGCGAGCCTGCACAACGGCACAAGACGGCCCTGTGCCTGGGCCCTCAAACCCCCATCCAGTCTTGTGGACTCTGCCTCCTCTGCCTCTCTCCCTGCTGTTCCTCCTCCTTCCCCATAGCCTCCGCCCTCACAGAGACCTTGGCCCTCCCAACACGCAGCCCAGAACCTGGTACACCCCAGACACTCGGTAAAGGTTTGTTCAATTAAATGGCTAAATCCATGTCACTTGGCGTGATCATAATGGCCTCTCTCCACCTGCCACCCTCAGCGTCTCTGTTTCCATCAGTGCATCCCGTAGACCCTGCCGCAGTGCTCCTCCAGCCCTAGTGTGCGTCAGGCAGTTCTTCAAACTCAGGCTCCAAAGCGCCCCCGGGGATCCCGACTCCGCAGGTGTGGGGTAGGGCCCAGCGCCTGCACCTCTAGCGAGCCCCGCCTCCTGTCTGTGGACCGCACTTTGACACAGCTCTGCTCGTGCTCCTCCCTGCTCTGCATTCTCCCGTGGCTCCCTAGTTCCGACACACAATAAATTCCATGACATTCTCCCGTGGCTTCCAGGAGGAGGAGGCACACTTTGCACTCAGTACGAGGTGAATCAATTAAGACGGGAAGGCGGGTAAAAAGGGTGGAGCCCCGAATGGCCCTGAGATCATGACTGGGGGGGCACACTAAGAGTTATGTGTAAGGGAGCCATGGGGGCAGGCGCCACACCCAGCGCCACACCCGTCTCTGTCCCTTCCTTCGTGTCTCTCTGTCACTAAACCCAGGTCCTCACCTGCCTGTGTTTCTCAGGCATCTCTTGGAGTGTCTTTCCTCCTATCTCTGCGCACTATCCCATTTGTTTGCCCATCTCGGTGAGCCTGCTTGTCTTTTTTTTTTTTAAAGATTTTTTATTTATTTATTTTAGACAGAGGGGAAGGGAGGGAAAGAGGGAGAGAAATATCAATGTGTGGTTGCCTCTCATGCACCACCCACTGGGGACCTGGCCCGCAACCCAGGCATGTACCCTGACTGGGAATCGAACCCGCAACCCTTTGGTTCACAGGCCAGCACTAAATCCACTGAGCCATATCAGCCAGGGCTGCTTGTCTTCTTTTTTTGTTTTTAATTACTTTTTTTATTCATTGATTTTTTTTTAAAAGGAGGAGGGGAGGGAGAGAGACACACACACACTGATTTGTAATTCTGCTCATTTCTCCATTCATTGGTTGATTCTTGTAAGTGCCCCGACCAGGAATTGAACTCGCAACCTTGGCCCCTGCTTGTCTTTCTCTGTCCTCTCCCATGTGCCTGCACCTACACCTCTGTCTGAGTGCCAAGCTCTGCACACCTCTTGCTGTTGGTCTCTTGATGGGACCCCCGAAAAGACCGGCACGGCAGCTCTGATGCTTGTGCTAACGTCAGGTGCGTGTCTGACCTCCCTGACGATTCCTGAGCAGCCCCGCAAGGTCGGCACGGGGACCTGTGGGGTCCAGTGCCCGTGAGCAGAGCTCTCCGTCCTCAGGGATCAATATGAGACTCTGGCCTCCTCCCATTTAAGTGTGCAGGTGTGAGGACTGCTCCAAAACCAAAGAGCTGCCCGGCATCTGGGAGGTGGGCGGGGAGAGGGCGGCAGGCTGGGGCAGGGCATCAGCCTAGGGGCTGCCTCTTCATGCAGGCAGATGGCAGGCTGGGGGCGCTGCCCCTGCCCATCATGCCTACCTCCCCCAGGCTCCCGTTCCTCCAACAGCCCTAACATCCTTGCCTTCATGGGTGAGGCTCCCACACCCCAGGGGGCCTCAATATTGGAAGGAGGCTTGAAGGGACAGGCCCTGAGGGGCAGGCAGTGGTGGAACATTCCAGACTGAGCACAGAGCAAACAGCAAGGCAAGGAAGATGGGGGCCCCAGGGGCATTTCTGGGGTGGATATACAAGAGGCAGAGAACCCATGGGTCTGGAACTCCAGAGAGACAGAGGCTGGAGATAAAAATAGGGCTACAGCCCTGAGCTGTGTGGCTCAGTTGGTTGGGTATTGTCCCACAAAGCAAAAAGTCGCCGGTTTAATTCCCAGTCAGGGCGCAAGCCTGGGTTTCGGGCCAGGTCCCCAGTTAGGGCACATGCAAGAAGCAGCTGATCCATGTTTCTCTCACACATCGATGATGTTTTTCTCTTTCTCCCTTCCCATCCCTCTAAAATAAACAAACTAGTTTTAAAAAGATAGGGTTACACTAACAGCCTGGATGAGAACCAGGGACTCACTCTTGGTGAAAACATGCACATTTAGGGGGTATGAGGAGCCCACTGCACCCCTGATATCCAGACACTCCAAACTTCTCAGTGTTTCCTTGTACCCACCTGCTTGCCTTTGCCTGCGTGTTCTCCTCTGCCCGGACTGCCCTTTCCGTCTCTCTCCTCCAGGCAAACATTATATTCCTCATTTAAGACCCAGTTCAAATGCCCCCTCCTCCAAGCAGCCTTCCCTGCCTCCCTCAGGGAGAACCTCCTCCTAGGCACCTCTGCGCACACCCCCACCTCATCCCTGACTGGGGCTGGGCTCACAGTAGGTGCTTAATACAGTCTGCACCCCAGGCGCTCTGGCTCCAGACCTCTGACCACCCATCTCCCACTTCCAGCCAAGCCTGTAGGGTGGCTGTTCAAATGACCCCTTTTTTTTGTGGTCCTTCCAGAGTTCTTCTCAGCTCTGAGCTGGAAGGGGCTAGAGGTGAACCTCCCTCCCCACAGGGAACTAGGTCTACCACCTAGGCAACCAGCCTCTGCCCAACTCCGAGACTAGACACCCCGCTTCTCCTCTGGGGAGGAGCATCTAAGTGTCCAGGGAGATAGAAATAACAGAAATAGAAAAATAGAAAAGATGGGGGCAGATGACCCGGAAGAGGCCCAGCAGCAGGCAGGACCCAGGCAGCAGCGTATGCTCAGGCAGGTGGCCAGGGGTCCCGGGGTTCAGGCCTCAGCTGGTGCCATCATTCTCACTTCCCAGCAGAAGCCCTAAGTTTTGAGTTTCTGACAGAGACTGGACAGGGCCCCCCCCACCCCCGTCCCCCAGAGCCAGCCACCCCCAGGCCCCAGGCCAGGCCAGGCAGGGCCTCCTCGCTGCCAATCCCTCGCCTTCTGGTTCACATTTGCAGCCTTTTCCGGAGCGCCACCCACCGCCCGCTGCCTCCCCACGCCTGCCAAAATTCCTGGGCCTTCGTGGCTTCCCCACGCGGTGGTGGCGGCAGCGGCAGCGGCAGGCAGCGGCTGCGGCAGGAGGGGCTGGGCAGGGAGGGGGCCGGGCAGGAGCACAGCCAGGCCACTGCACCCGGGCAGGCCGAGCAAACACAGGCCCACGCCAAGGAGCCAGAGAGAAATAGTTCATAAATGAGAAAAAGCTGCTTCCGAGTTGGGCTGAAATGTTCAAGCCCAGGCCACAGGGAGCTGAGGTCACCTGCAAGAGGGGCTGCCTGCTGGACATCCTGGGGCTGGGAGGGGCTTCCGCTGCTGCAGGAGGGAGCAAGGTTAGACAGCAGCCAGCAATGGCCTCATCCAGGCACCGATGTCCTTGGCCGGGTGCCCCGAATCCAGCTTACCTTTTAGGTCGGAGGGGCCGCTAAAGGTCCCAGCAGAGGGGAGGCCTGAGGGTGGAAGAGAAAAACAGTGAGGAAGATTCCAGGAGCCCGGGAAGCCTCCTGCCCTAACTCACAGCTACCCCAGCGCCCACCAGAGGCTTCCTACCAAGAGCCCCTCCTGGACCATGGGCCCCACCCTCGTCCCTCTTCTCAGGAAGCCAGGATGCGGCTCCCTTCATTCATTCACTTCGTGCATCCTTAGCAGTGTCCACAGGGTGCCTGGCCCTCACTTGATGGAGCTCCTCCCGTGCTAGGGCCCAGGCTGAGGAAGCCCCTTCTGTGTGCCTGCCTTCACACTAGACACATAGGCCCTGCGCTGGGATGGCCCCTCTATAGGACAGGGTTCTTGCCTGGGGAAGTGCCTACTGTGCGGGGCACCCTAGGCTGGGCCTCGGGACACAGAAATGGCCCCGCCCCTGCCCTGGCCCTGAACCAGCTGGAGGCATCAGACAAGTGGCCACCGCACAATTGCCTCCCCCTTGACTTTCCCCAGAAGGGTTCATGTAGGAAGGGACACCGGAGCTGGGTCCTGATGGGCGAGTAGGGGTCTGAAGACAGAGTGAGAAATTTCTGGACGTAGGAAGCTGCTTGGCAGCTTCAGGGAAGATCCAGAGCTGTGGGGCTGAGAGGAGAGGCAGGAGCTGAGAAAGCTGAGGCAGCCTAGTGAGGAGCCTTGAATGAGGTGCTTGCATTCCTCCAGAAGGCAATGGGGAGCCACAGAAGGTTGCGGGGAGGTGATATAGTCAGGACCCTGAATGGCCAGGTTCCCATTTCTGCCTCAATCAACCATGATGCCAGGCTGTCGCAAGCCCTAGTCTAGGTTACACAGCTGTACACGGGGGGCTGGGGCTGTAGTCCAGGGCCAGGCGTGACTCCTGGCTGGGTGGGGAGGGGACACACAGCCAGCCCACCTGGCAGGGAGACCTCCCGGCCGCATCACTCTCTCCCGCAGCTGCTCATTCGCCTCTGCCCGCTCCCATGGAAACTCTGACAGCCCGGCCCTGTCTCTCACCGCACAGGCAGCCAGACACCGAGGCCAGCGGCTCCCAGGCCTCCTCTCCAACTCAGCGGAGCCCTGCCTCCGGAGCCCTGCCTCTGTCCCCGCCGCTCTGAACGCCACGACCCCACAGGTGGGTCTGAGGGCCCAGCCTGATTGACCGCGCCGGGTGGGAGGGCCTCCCTGCACAACTCTACCCCCGCTGCCCTGGCCCCGCCCTCACCCCACCGTCAGGCTTCGGGAGGGGAAACGGCTTCCACTGGATCTGAGTTTTGAAGAATGAACATGGATTTAACCGGGTGAAGATGGAGGTGGGGGCGGGCGGGGAGGCAATCCATCTAGCCCAAGGAAACAGCATGTGTGAGGGTATGGAGAGGCCAGAGCTTGGGATGAAAATTAAAAAAACAAGAACAAAAAAGCACAAATAAACTAACTAAATACACCTAACAATAATAGTTCATCTAGTACATGCCAGACACTGTTCTGAGATCTTTCATGGGTTATTTAATTTCATCTTTACAACAACCCAGTGGAGTAGGTATTTTGTCTTCCCTTTAAACAGATGGGGACACCAAAGGACAGAGAGGTTAAGTAACTGACTCAAGGTCACACAGCCCATAAGGGGTAGAGCCTGATTTTGAACTTAGCTGTTGACTCCACAGCTGGCGCTCTTCACCTCTCCATCACACAGGTGAGCTGAGGCCAGAAGGGCTGGCTGGGTCAGCGTGAGAAATGCCTTGAATACCAGGATGAAAGACCCCAGGCCCAGCTTAAAGCGGCTTCCCATCCCTGAAGGAACATGTTGGCCCTTTAAGTCCCAAGTATGTTTTATGCGCCAGACACAGCACTCAGGACACTCCCGGCATTCTTTCATCAAACTCTCCCATAGCTCTCCCGTGACTGTGTAAAGCAGGAATCGCTGTCCTATTTTTCTGAAGAGGAGCCCCGAGGCCCCAGTAGGTGATACCCACTCTCCAAGATTACAGGGCTAGGAAGCACAGGGGCGGGGCTCTGAACCTGGGAGCTTGCCCAGCCCCCCAAAGGGGCCAAGCCCTGTATACTTGGGCTTCCTGGAGACCTCAGCTACAGGTCCTTCTCCCTGCCTCTCCACCCCCGCCTGGCCTGCTTGGACCAGGTGGCAGTAGGGACCCGCAAGGCTGGGCACAGAGCGGGCAGCCTTCATCACGGGCTTCAGGGGCCCCTCCGGTCGACCAAGGCTCCCTCCGCCCTACAAAATAGGAAGCTGGGGCAGTGCCTGGGCCCATTTCAATGGGACTCTGTTCTTAACCTCCGCCCCAGCTGCCTGCCGTAATCCCCTCCTTGAGCGCCTCCCCTGGCGATATCTCCTCCTCGCACAGAGCCCGCCGCCACCTAAATCCCAGGCCAGATGTGGGTGGGACAGTAGGCACCCCCAGCCCCCATCAGCTTCCAAGAGCTGCCGGGCTCCGAGGGGGGCTGGCCAGGACCCCAGGCCCGCCTCCTCATCCCAACTTTCCAAACCGAGGCGCCGAGAACCATGAGGTGAATAGCCGGCCTCTCCCCGCTGCCCGAGCCTCCACCACGAGAGCAGGCGTGGGGCTGAGGCTTGTTTCAGAAATCACGACGGGTTAAGAGCCCAGCTTCCTGCCTTCTCCTCCCAGCCCTACGCCTTGTCTTACTGGCCTGTGACCTCACTCGTCCGCGCCTCGGCTTCCGCTTCCAAAATGGGAACGATTCCCGCTCCGTGGAGCCTTTGTGAGGGTTAAACGAGTCCATTTCACATAGCAGACTTCAAGCAGTGCTTGGCGTACAGAAAGGAACAGCCAATAAATGTTCACTGTTGGTATATTATTCTGACCACCACGACCATGACCCCTCCCAAAAGCCCTGTGAGTTAGATTATAAACCCCGCTTGACAGGTGGAGACACCAAGTCCCGGCGGGAAGTCACCTGCCCCAGTGCGCCCGGCCCGCCGCCGGCGGAGGCCCCGGGTTTGGACCCGAGCTGCGAGTTCGCAGAAGACGGGGATATAGGCTCCCAGCGGCCTGCAGCTGGGGACGGGGTGTTGGGGGTGGGGTCCTCCGCCCCCCAGCCCCTCCTGCCTCACCCCCAAGGGCTCCTCCACCTAAGCTCCTGCTACCGCCGCGGGAGGGGGTCGGCATTCCTGCCTAAGCGGCAGGATTTGCTGGGCTCGGGAACTATGAGAAGAATGTTTGCCTCGAGCTGAGCCGCCTTCACCCGCGTCAGAAGGAGCGTGGCCTGATAGGCTCCCGCAGAGCTGTGCATCCGCCGGCAGCCCCCACAGCGGGAGGGAAGAACAGGAAACCTCTGGGTACTGAGGGCTGTGGGTATTAGATGTGGGCAGACCTCCTGAGACCTTGCAGGAGAGGAGAAAGGGCTCCTCCACCCCACTATCTACGTCGCTCCTCGCCACAGGCTCTAAGGAGAGCCAGGATGGTGTTACTGGCCCATTTCACAGGTGGGATGACGGAGACCCAGAGGAGAGCTCATCTGAGGTCACACAGCAGCCAGCAGCCGAACTGAAACCAGAGACCAGGACCCCTTCCTGCCAGAGGCTGCCCTCCCTCACAGGACCCATGGGGACAGCACATTTCAGATACTAGGCAACCCAACCCATCCCAGCCCTCACGTTCTGGGCTCGCTCTGGGCTCGACCTTCTCATGCCTCTCTTCCCCCATTTAAAAGGGGTTCTTCACCCCCTCAGAAAGCACCTCGCCTCTGCCGTGAAAATACATGGTGCACATGCATGCGTGACAACTGAGCTTCCTTTTCCTTCCTAGCCAGACCAAGCAGAGAGCAGGGACCAGGGGCCAGTGGGAACGTGAGCTGCGCGTGTCACAGACCTGGAGTGAATCCCAGCTCAGGACTCAGCAAGGGGACTCTTGGCCAGGTGACCCACCTCTTGGGGCCTCCACTTCCCCCTCTGTTAAATGGGCCACCAAGCCCTGCAGCGTTGTCACAAAGATGAAATGAGACACAGACCTTATCCGTCCCTTCCTCCAATGGGACAGAAAGAAGAATGAAATTAGAGAACTTCATGTGGCAAGGTTCCTTCCACCCTGGGTACTCCGGGAGGAAGGGAGCCCTGAGCCCAGGGTCCTGGCCTCTGGGCTCAGTCCTGCCACTGGCTGCTGAGTGACCTCGGGACAAGTTCCTCTCGGAGCCTCTGTGCGCACATCCATGAGAGGAGCCCGCAATGCCGGCGTGGCTCTCCCCGTGAGGCACCCACTCTCTGCCACCCCCTTGTTCTGCCCTCCAAGAGCCAAGAATCTTAGGCCATCCAGGTTGCATGGGAAGAGTCACCTCCCCATTCAGAACTTTCCAAGAATCTGAACAGAAGCAGAGCCAGGTCCCCCCGACCCCCGAGTCCCTGCCCAGGATCTAATTACACTGGTACAACACACTGACCGGAAGCCTGGGTGAAAGTGCCGCGCTGCACCCTGGTCGCTTGTGTGAGCTGGGACCCTCCCCAGCCCCCTGTAGGCAAAACGACCCTGGAGACGAGCATTAGCATTCCCATTTCATAGATGGGGAAACTGAGGTCCAGGGCTGGGAGGTCCCTTACCCAGGGTCATAAGGAAGGTGACCGAGACCTGCCTGACTCCCAAGGCCATCTCGTCTGCTCGCTGAATGCTCTGCCTTACTCAGGACCCGATGCAGACAGAGCAGGTCTGGGAATCCCTGTCCTGGAGTGGGACCTCCCTGGCTGGTGTCTGGACACTCATGTGTACACATGTGACCTCGCACACCCACTGGGCTTTGTACACACCCCAGGCCTCCCAGACACTATTCCCCCCGCCCCAATGTGTGGCCACACTCAACACCCAGACCCCTGCCATCCCAGTATACCAGACCCTGGGGTCCAAACCTATGTGTCCCCTTCACCTGCCTCCTCTGGGGACAGGCCACAGTCACCCAGTGCAAAGCACCTGGCCTGCCCCCTGCTCATCCCCCCAACCAATCAGCCACTGAGGCCTGTCCAGTCCCCTCTTACTCCTCTCCATCTGCTTCTTCCTCTCACCCCCATGGCAACCACCCACCTCAGTTTCTAACACCTTCCTCCTTGACTATAAGGTCCCCCTTTGTCCTTGACCCCCAGGGAAACCAGAGTGACAGCCAGATTGCACCACTCTGCAGCTCACACCCTTTCTCTGGACAAGGCCCTTGGAAATCTGACCTCAAAGTAGTTGCTAGTGCCCTCCACTCACTTCCCCACAGCGTGAGCCAACGACTGCTCACTGTCCTGAGTCCCCTGAGAGAACTCTGCAGCCTCCCACCACCACACCTTCACACACAGTGTTGTTCCCTCCGACTGGAATGCCCTCCTGTTCACCCTCTCGCCACCTGCACCTGTCAAAGTTCTTGTCGGCTTCAAAGTCCTAGCCAGGCCCCAGCTGGTGTGGCTCAGTGGACTGAGTGCTGGCCTGCAAACCAAAGGGTCACCGGTTCAATTCCCAGTCAAGGCTCATGTCTGGGTTGTAGACCAGGTCCCCAGTAGGGGGCACGTGAGAGATGTTTCTCTCCCTCTCTCCCTCCCTTCCCCTCTTTTTAAAATAAATAAATTAATTAAATATTTAAAAAGAAAGAAAGCCTTACCCAGCTGCTGCCTCCCTGACCACCTCTCCCTCACACACACTGTGGCCTGCACCATGTTCCTCGACGGACACCCTGAGACACAGCTGCACCCCTTATGAGAGGTCGCTGTGCCCCTCTGGTTCTTCCTCCACCCCAACTCCTCAAGTGCCTCAGGCCACAAATGGGGCAGGTTCATCCAAGGCTCCGCTTTCTTACAAGGGGAGCTCCATGCCTGCCACTGGTGGCGGGGCGGGGGTGGGGGGAGTCTGGTGTGGGAGGACAGCAGGGCAGGGAAGCTGGGGCTCTGCCAACCTCTGGTCTGGCTCGGGCCTGGGGCGGGGGTGGCGGTGAGGGGTGCTCAGGCTGACAGCCCTGTTCGGAATCTTTCCTTCTCTCTCTCTTTTTTTGATAAAAATTTTTAAAGCTTTCCCTATTTTCCTTTTTTACTTTAAGATTTTACTTATGTATTTTTAGAGAGAGGGGAAGACAAGGAGCAAGAGAGGGAGAGAAACATTGATTGGTAGTCTCTCACACGCCCCCAACTGGGGACCTGGCCCTGACCAGGAATCAAACCAGCAACCTTTCGGTTTGCAAGCTGGCACTCACCAGCCAGGGCACTGATAAACTTTGTTTAAAAATTGATTTGAGAGAGAGAAGGAGGAGAGAATCAACTTGCTATTCCCTTGTTTATGAATTCATTGGTTGATTCTCATATGTGCCCTGACCAGAAGTCGAACTTGCAACGCTGCTGTATCAGAATAGTGCACTAACTAATTAGCTACCCAGCCAGGGCTTTTGCCTTTTCTTTTGCTAGCAGACCCATTTGCTTCCATTTTTTTCCCCTTCCTCTGAGCCAAAGAGTGGAAACACACATTTTCTCTGTGGTGAACAATGTGAAACCGGAGAGAAAGAAAGACCCTGGTGAGTGTGTCTGAGTGTGAGGGTCTGTGCGTGTGTTCTCCTGTCTGAGTATGTCTGGCTGGGCCGTGTGGGGCTGCCGTGTGTCCGTAGGAGTTTGGGCACATGAGTGTGTCTGCACGTGCCCTGTCTGACTTCGTTTCAACATCTTTGGTGGTGTGTGTTTCCGCAGAGCATGTTCACCTGCATGATTGTGTGTGACTGTCAGTGGGAGGCAGTGTCACTGTGTGTGACTGCATGAGAATGGCTGTGATGTGTCCTCATTGTCGTTGGGGGGTGACTGTGTTCAAGGGTTTGTCGGTGCTCACCAGCCCAGTGGGAGGCAGTGGGGGTATCTGGGTCCCAGCACAGACCGCCAGTTCACCATGGTGCCTCCACAGGGGACCCACCACCTCCCCTGGGCCCAAGAATGGGCTCCCTGAGGGCCTCCATCTGCTCAGGGCAGTAGGGACCAGCCCCAGAGAGGGCCCAGGCTGCCTGCCCCTCCAGCCATGTCAGCCCCACAGCCCCCAGACCTCCCCGAAGCTCCTGGGAGGGTACCTTTGCTAAGGGCACTCTGAGGAGGGGCTGGACCCTGGCCACCAAACAAGGCACAAGCCTTAGCAAGAGGAACTGAAGCAGGCAGGAGGAAGGACGTGTGAGTTGCCAAGGTCCCCCCCGAGAGAGGTCCGTGGTATTTCTGTGTCGGGAACCTAGCATGTTCTCACACACACTGAGGGCCTCACACTTACTGAAACACACACACTAAGAACACACTGGCAGACACTCGCCGTCCCCCTCGCACCCAGCAAGTGCACACGCTGACAGGCTCATACACAGAAGCACACGCGGCAAGCAGACGCAGAGGGCCTGCCTTTCCTGGGCTCCTCGGTCTGAACAGCATTTCTGGTCCAGGGGCTCCTGCGCAGCGTCTCCTGCCCCCAGTCGCTCTGGGCCAGGCACCGCGGCTCACCCCTGCAAAGCCTCTGTCTGGGGTTGGGGGGAGGTGCTGAGCTCCTGCAGGGACATTCCGAAAACCCTCAGTCTCCAGTGTGCGGGGAGTGGGGGGTGCTGCCAGGACACCTAGAATAGGAGGGACGTGAGGACAGAGGCAGAAAAACGAAGACACTGGAAGGTGGCCCAGCAGCCCAGCCATGACAGAGGCGGGGGCGGGGAGGGGGCGAGAGCCGAGGGGCTTCCCTGCCTGGGGCTGGAGCGCGAGCGAAGGCCCCACGCGCACGCCCTCCTCTCTCCTGCACCCTGCCTGCCCAGGAGGCTTTGTCATTCCCATTCCGCAGGTGGGAAGGAAGAACCCTGGAGGTGAAGGGACATGCTCCGAGCCACATCGTCGGGGAGCCCCCTTCTGGGAGAGGGAGGGAGGAGGGGGCTTTGTCTGGGATCCTGCCGGGCGGCTTCTGTGTGGGGAGGGGGCACCGGGCGCAGGGAAGTGGATGGGCTCCCCCATCCTACCGCCGATCCAGTCCCTTCCCGGAGCCCGAGGAGGCGCGGGCCCGCAGTCCCCGACAGTCTAGGGGAAGCGCGGGCCGGGTCCTGCCCTCGGAGCCTCCCGAAACCCGGCATCCGCACCCGCCTCCCCGCCGGTACCTGTAGGGCAGCGGCGGGGCGCCGCTCCCGACCCTCGAGGGCGGCCCAGGGCGCGCGGTCTCCGCGGAGGGGGCGTCGGCGGCTCGGGGGCGTCGTCGGGGTCCGCGCCGCCGGCGGGGCTCCGCGTCGCTCTGCCCGCCGTCCCCGCGGCTGCCGGAGTGGGCGGGCGGGGAGGGGGGGCCCGGGGCGGCGGGAGGGGCGCGGCGGGGCGGGGCCTCCACCCTCCTCTTTCCACAGCCACGGCCAAGGCCCGCGCCCCGCCTGGCCCGCGCGCCCAGCTCGGCCTCGACGTCGGCCTCCCTCCCGCCCCGAGACCCGTCCGAGACACCCCCGCAGCCGCACGCGTCCCGAACCGCTCGCCCCGCAGTCGCTCGCGCACACCCTCTGCTGCGGGGCCCGAGCCCTCGAGGGCTGCCGTCTAGGGCACTCAGCCCCGCCGCCGAGAGGCGCGGCACGGGGTTCTCAGCGCCGGGAAGGGGCAGCGCGCAGGGGCCGTGGCCCATCCGTGAGCAGTCACAGAAGGCTTCCTGCAAGTGGTGACCTAGGCTGCGGGAGGAGGGGGGTCAGCCTGTGTGTTCAGAGGCAGACAGGGGCTGCACGCTGTGGGGTCCTGTAGGCCACGCTGGAGCTGCTTGGACGTCACCTCCAGGAACATGGGAGCCACGGGAGACACTGAACTGCAGCAGTGCAGCGACTGGTCAGGACTGGGCTTTAGAAAGCGCCTCCTGATTCTGTGTGGAGGGAGACAGAGGCAGGGTACGGGGCTGAGGAGGCTGCTGGAATAGTCGCAGCTGGTCCAGGGAGGGGACTGTGGGGGCCAGAGGAAAGGGCCAAGTGCAGAGGAGTTGAGGAGGTGGCACAGGCAGGACGTGGATGGGGCGGAGGGGCAGTGTCCGGGTCCGTGCGGCACTGCTGGCTAGGCGATGGGAGAGGGGCTGTCCCGGAGCAGGGTGGTCGGATGCGTGGAGCTGGACATGCCCATGGGACTTCATGTATCCACAAGAGAAGTGAAATTTCTTTTCTTTTAAAAAGATTTTATTTATTTATTTTTAGAGAGAGAGGGAAAAGGAGGGAGAAAGAGAGGGAGAGAAACCAGTGTGTGAGAGGAACATGTATCTATCAGTTGCCTCTCGCATGCTCCCAACTGGGGACCAAGCCTCCATGTGCCCTGACTGGAAATCGAACCGGTGACCCTTTGGTTTGCAGGCTGACACTCAGTCCACTGAGCCACACCAGCCAGGGTGGGAGTGAGGTTCTGGGCTAAAGATTAGGAGCGCTTGCTGGGCAGGCGGTGACTGAAGCCGTGGGGACGACGCCCAGGGGAGGAGTGTGCAGTAGAAGAGGAAGCCAGGCCGCGTGTGGGCATGGTCGACAGTCAGAGGGAGTGCAGAGGAAGGGGATCGGCAAAGAAGGTGCTGCTGGGGAGCGGGAAGAAACCAGAAGAAGAGTGACTCGGAAGACAAAGGCAGATGTTTCTAGAAAGCCAGGGAGGCCTCCAGGGCAGGGGTCACAGAAGAGCACCATCTGGGATGGGCAAGTAGGGGCTGGTCGTGGAGGTGGGAGGCAGGGCAGGAACCAGGCTCCAAGAGCCAAAGGACCAGCCACAGGGGCGGATGTGGAGGCAGTGAGCGCAGTGGGGGAGTCTAGAGAAACTGAGGCCAAGAGAAGGGGGGTTTGGAGGTGTGTGTGTGTGTGTGTGCGCACATGCATGCACGTGTTCAACAGGTCCAGAGGAGGAGCGGGGAAGACCCGAGGCTGCCTGTCTCTGGGTCTGGGCCTACCTCCATCACCCCTTCCCCCTCTTCCTCCCGCCTGCCCTCTGAGGGCCTCCCACTTTGCTGTCCCCCTGCCAAGGTACACACCAGCCCCGCCACTCCTCGGTGGGGCCTCTCACCCTTGCCCACCTCCAGAGCCTGGGCTGCTCCTGTCCTGCCACTCAGACTGGGGGGACTGAGCAGGGCCTTTGGGTATGGAGTCTCGGCCTGAGCCAGCCCAGAGGGACCACAGGGGAGCCAGCCTGGGGCACAGCCTGAGGAAGAGGAGGCTACCTGGTTGGCAGGTACCTACAAGGCCCTCCCCCCCAGAGCTGGTGTGAAAACCAGACCCTTGATGGGGATCAGAAGAGGGTTGAATGTTCAGGGAGGGGTGGGAGCTAAGCAGCTAAGACTGAAGATTGAGACTATGGACTCAGGGTGCCTGGGCTCAGGTCCAGGAGCTCACCAGCTGCATGAGGTGCCCTTGAACAAGGCACCTAACCTCTGCGGCCTCAGCTTTCTCATCTGCAAAGCTCTCACAGGCTTGTGAGGATTAAGCCCATGAGTGAGTCCACAGAGAGCATTTAGCTCTGAGTGTGAGCTGTTCTTGGAAAGAGGAGAGAGCTCAGCGAAGGGGAGGTGGTGAAGCAAGCAGGCAAGTGGGGGGTGCGCTGTGCTGAAGAAGGGGCTCTTGTGGGCTCCACACACACAGACACTCAGACCTGCTCCGCCAGTCCCCCATGATCTCACCCCTGACTCTCCTGACTCACTTCACAAACTTTCCTGCGGCCTCTGGCCTGGTTCTACTGGCACACACCTCCCCATCCCCTCCCTTGTTTGACCCCTGCCGATCTCCCTGCAGGGACGGAGGGTCTCAGGGCCTCCTCCTGCCAACCAGCCCTGGGAGGCCTGACCTGCTGTCCTGTGGCCCCATGTTAGTTGGACCCTCCAGGTGGGCCTCAGCTGCCCGTCCTCCTACAGCGACTGAGACAGCCACACCACGTCCCTGCCACAGCTGCCTCTTTGCGTAGAAACCTCAAGGCAGGAAATGAGTGTCCTGGAGCCAAAAGTCTGGGCTAGGCCAGCCCAGACTCCCAGCCAGGCTCCCCACCCCACCTGCCAGGGGCTCCCACCTTTGGTCTGCCTCTGGTGGTGTCTGGATTTCAAGGGTCGGCTTTGTCTGTTGTTACCTGCCGTGTTTGGACAAGTAGCTGTGTCTTTCTGGCCCGAGAATCAAAGACTGGCCAGAAAGGATGCAAGGACTGTTCTAGGCCTGAGCGGAGGAGGTATCAAATGGGGTGGGTGGTTAAACTGAAGCTGATGAGGCGTGTGACCTGCTTGGCGCAGCCGCTGGCTGAGCCAGTGCTGGCATCTGTCCGGTGGTTCCGAGCATGAGCTGGGGAGTAGAGCAGACCTGGGTTTGGATCCCTGTTCTGCCTCTCTGTGACTGTGGGCAAGTGACTTAACTTCCCCAAACCTCAAAATTCCTCCTCTTCCTCTTTAAAAGGGGGTCAATGATAGTCTTTTTTTTTTAAGATTTTATTTACTTTTTTAGAGAGAAGGGAAGAGAAGGAGAAAGAGAGGGAGAGAAACACAAATGTGTGGTTGCCTCTCGTGTGCACCCTACTGGGGACCTGGCCTGCAACCCAGGCATGTGGTCTGGCTGGGAATCGAACCAGCAACCCTTTGGTTCATAGGCCTGTGCTCAATCCACTGAGCTACACCAGCCAGGGTTAATGATAGTCTTTAATAGCAACAGCTAAACCTCACAGGGCTCTTACTCAGGCACTAGTCTGAGCACTTCACATAGATTAACTCATTTAATGCTCACGACAGCCCTTTGAGATTGGTATCGTTGTGCTCATTTTGCAGCCAGAAAAGCCCCGGCACAGGCTTTCCCAGGTTTTCCCTGCGGCAGGCAGGCTCACCAGTCCTCCCTGTTCCCACCATGCTCTGGAGCCCCTTAGAAGAGACAGTTAACAGAAAGGGCTTAACACGAGCCTGGCACACAGTGACAACTAAATAAGTGCGGAGTAACTGTAATCACTATTACCACAACCCTCCCATTCCTTCTCAATTTCTAACTTGATCTATAGAAATAAGAAGACTCTCTGGGCTCCAACCACCCCACCCTTCCCTCTGTCTGGCAAGCAGAGGGGAGGGAGTGATGTTTGCACAGATGTGTGGCCATGGGCGTGCAAGTAGCCTGGGGAGGGGGTGTGGTGCTGGTATATTTCTGCTCCACCAGCGGCTCGGTGATTCCGCACCCTCCATCCCCGCCCCCGACTTCCCACATCTGGTAGAGGACCAGACTCCTGGTTCCACAATCCCTGGGAAGTCCCTCCCTCTGTCTAGCCCTCCTTCCTTCTTTTCAGTCGCCGGAGGCCTCGCCTGCAGGACTGGAGAAACGAAGACCACCTGCTGCAGCCCACCATTCTCCTCATTTCCACCGGGGCAGCTCTCTTAGGCCTATCCTCAAAAATCCCAGTAATGTGGTGGAAATTAAAGTCACCTTAAATATTCTAATCTTATAACAATTTTGCTTCAATCAACATCTAACTGTGACCACATGTGCCCAGACCACCCAGCGGCCCAGTTGGAGGCTTGGGAGGAGGTGGTACAGGACTCTCTGGGGGAGAGGTCTGCAGGTCGTTGGTTCCCCCTGCGTTCTCCTGGCCTGCCACACTGGGCCGCCCGTCCCCTTCCTCCACCTTTCCTCAGGCAGCTCAGGAAGAGTGGCAGGCCCTGGGCGGAGTCTCCTTACCCCCAGGCTGGGGCCTGGGGAGGTGCCACCGGCCAGGGGATGCTGGGGCCGGCCTCACAGGCCAGGCAGCCCGTGTGGTCACACAGAGCTCCATATTCAGAAGGCCTTGGTTTAATGCTCTGCTGGGTCATCCTGAAATTCATAATAATTTTTTCCGTAATAGTTTTTGAGCAAGGGGCTCTGCATTTTCACTTTGCCCCAGCCCCATAAATTATATAGCTGGCCCCAGTGCAGGCCCACACCACCTACACCCCTCTCTCTCTGGGCTCCCTCACTCCATTCTCACACTCAGTCAACACCCAGGCAAGAAGAACGTTCTGAGCACCTACTTTGCGCTGCAAGTAGCGCTAGGTGCTTGGAGGTACAGTGATAAACAGAGACATGGCCCTGATGTCCCCAAATTACCACCTGCACACCCTCAGACGCTCATCTGTCCACATGGTGTGACAAGACAGCTCTCCCAGGAACAGTCACGCTCATTGAAACTGCCAACTAGGGAGCACTCAGCCCACACTCAAAACAGACAGCAAGGGAGGCGTTGCGGTCCCCATTTTCCAGATGAAAAAACTAAGGCTCCGGGTTCAAATCCTTTGTCCAGGGTCACAGAACCAGTAAGTAGCCGAGCCAGGACTCGCTGTCATCCGTCATTTTCAGCCTCCCCTCTCCTCCCCACCACACGCACACACTGTGTCCAGCGGCTTCCACAGGCTGAAGCTCCCAGCACCTCCATGGCCCTGCCCCCAGCACGGGGCTGCATGTTTACTGAAAGAGTTCACACACAGACATACTCCCCAGGAAACACAAGAACAGAGACACACAATGAAGCACACACATAAACATATATGGAACGTGGGATGTACTGCATAAGAAGTGTCTCGTTCTGGACCACCCAGGTTCCAGGCCTGACTCTAATGCACGTTAGGGGGTGTATCTGTTTTCCCACCTGCAAAATGGGAACAGTGACAGGGGTGGTGTGAATACTAGGAGAAATGCACGGGAAGTGCTTAGCCCAGCGCTGGCACACTCTTCAGTAAATGTTCGCTGTGGCTGTGAGCCACATCTGTGCGCACTCACGCGTGTTCTCCTGCCCATCCCACCACCTTCCCACCCCTCCTCTAGCCCAGCTCAGTCCTGGAGGCCCTCGTGGCCGACAGTCCAGGCCCCAGAGCCAGGAGGGAAGAGCCGCTGCTTCTCTCAGCATCCTCCATCCTCCTCGGCTACACCTGGGCGGGCTCATGTGTGGTGGTGGTAGGTGGGGGCTGGGTGTGGCTCCCCCAGCTCTGGGTCTATCAGAGAAGGCTTCCTGGAGGAGGCCTCCGCCCAAAAGGCTTAGGCAGGAGAGTGCTGCCCTGTGCCTTGGCTCCCTCCCTTGCTCCTCACAACACCCACCCCCAAACTCTGCTGCAGCGCCCTCTCTCCACCCCCTTCCCCACAGTAGAAACTTTCCTCTCCTCCTGCCAGAAGCGTAAATTGCCCCCAGGAATGTGCTGCATCCCACAGCTCCCCTGGCAGTGGCCGGCAGCAGTCCTGGGGTCAGGCCTGGCCCTACATCAAAGGCTGGGGATCGCAACAGCGAGGCTCGCCTGCTGCCACCCCGCCCCCTCCTGCCTCCTACAGCCCCTCTGGCTTCCAGGGAACAGCACATGGTAGCACTTAAGCTCTGGGAGACCGGGAGGATGCTTTTCCTGCACCACCCCCCACAACCATCCACAATGAACTACTTGTTAGAAGACTATTTTAATTTTACTTAATGCAATTTCTGCTCCTGGGCCTCTGTTGCCACCTCTTTCCCAGACCGGGATGCCCAGTACAAATGTAAGGAGGCCAATCCGTCAGGGAAAGGCGTGACCTGAATATGGAAATGTCACTGGCAGGAGTCTGGGGCAGGAACAGGACTCTCTTACACCAGGGGGACGGAGCTGGCGCTCTGGTCTCCATCAGGAGGTGAGGGGTTGGTTAGGGGAGGGCTCTCAGAGGTAGCTTGTACAACTCAGCCAGCCAGTGTGAGAGCTGGGGGTGCGTATGGGGGCCACGGGCTTCTTAGCCAACGTGCTCTTTCTCTCCAATGCCCTGGGTTTAGGAGGCGAGCCTTGAACCTAGCAACCACCCAAGCTTTGCATTCTGGTCCCATGGTTGTGACTGGAGGAAGGGGGCACTTCCTGGCTCTGACCAGCCTCTGAGATTTGCTCCATCAGGTGCATCTTCTAGCAAATTCTGAATACCTGGGGTCCAATGGTCACTCTCTGGGACAGTACAGTGGTGATCTGGAGACCCCTGGTGGCCAAAGGTTGCAGAACAAGGGTTTCCTTAGAGCTCTGCCCAGCCAGAGTCCAGCCCAGAAGCCACCAGCACGGACCCCTCCAGGCCCAGAACTCCACTGCAGCCCAGGCTCTTTGGGAGCCTCCTTAGTCAGCACCCCACGTGCAGCCAGGCACACCTGGCCAGCTCGCAGGAAAAGTGTGCCTGCACATCAAGGATAATGGGCCTGGGGAGGGTCCCAACCTCACAGTCACAGTAAGGCAGAGGGACATGCAAACTACAAGAATTAATCCTGGGGTGGGGGCGCCAGCAGGTGGGTTGCTGGGACTTTTATGTTTGGCTCACATGGGAGAGATGATTTGGTGACGTCCAAACGGCTCCTTAGTCCTGAGCCCTGAGCCCTTTCTTTTCCCTGCGGGGCTGTAACTGGAAAAAGTCAGGGTGCGGGGCGGGCGTGGTGGGGCGGTGTGCTTCGTTTCCACAGCTTGCCCACCCTGTCACGGAGCCCAAGAGATTCACTCTGGGAAAGGAAGTATCCAAACCTCAGGCCATGTGAACGAACAGCTGCGGGGAGAGGGGCTGGGGCCCTGGAGAGGGAGGGTGGTGCAGCTCACTTTTCTCGCCAGGGTCCGGGCACCACACCACCTCCCGTCATCTAGGCCCAGCATTCATTCCCTCACTTCTCCTTCATCCACTCAAACTCTCGTGCAACTGGACCCAGCCTTATGCCAGTTCTAAGAATACAGTTGACCAAAATGGGGTACCTGCCCCAGGGCCCTGTATTCTACTTGGCAGGGGAAGTAGAGGCTCAGAGAAGGATGGGATCCCAGAGAAAGCATGAGCCTCCCTGTCGTGTGCAGGCTGCCTCTCACTGGCGTCCCAGACACTGGTCCCAACCTGAGCAACCGAGACTGAGACATTCCTCATGCACAGCGCACCATCACTGCTCATCTCGGGCCTGTCTACCGACCTTGCAGAAGGTCGGGCCAACACCACCTGGCCAACAACCTGAGCATCTGGACCTCAAGGCCCTAGATATCCCCAGAAGTGCTACCAAACAAGGCCTGACCTCTGCACAGCCCTGCCACCCCCCACCCCCCGCAAACCCTTTAAAAGCTATCCTAAGCTCTGTCAAACTAGGAGGGGAAGTCACAGGCCTGCTCCCCGCCCCCATAACCCACAGTGCTAACCAGTCAAGAACATAGGCTTTGCCCTGGTTGGTGTGGCTCAGTGGGTTGGGCGTCGCCCTGCAAAGCAAAAGGTCGCCGGTTTGATTCCCAGTCAGGCACATGCCTGGTTCACGGGCCAGGTCCCTAGTTGTGGGGTGTGAGAGGCAACGGAGATCATTGTTTCTTTCCCTCTTTCTCCTTCCCTTCCCTTCTAAGAATAAATAAAATCTTTCCTAAAGAAAAAGTTAAGAAAAAGCAAATGTGAACTCTGTAGTTTGGCTGGGGCTTTGAGCCCTAGCTTCTCCACTTATTAGCTGTCCGACCTTGGGCAACTTGTGGCCCCCTCCCTAGAAATGGTGTCACTGTGAACAAGACAATGCACAGTGTTCAGGAGTCCGACACGTGGCGGGCACACAACACACGGTGCCTGACACCAGGGTCCACAGCGTCTTTCTAAGCCGAATCCCCCAACTTGGTGGCTCAGGTATGTCTAGGACAAGGGTCTGATCCTGCATTTTACTGTAGACCCAAATAGGACCCTGAAGGGGGCTGGTTTGCTCCCGGGTCCCCCAGGCTCCCTGCTTGGTGGGGAGAAGCCATCCCTGGACCGGGCGAAAGCAAGGCAGGGCCCAGGACCTTCGCTGGTCTCCCTGCCCCATCAAAACAAACTCCCGGGGCTGAGCAGAAAGAAAACAGGACAGGATTGGGACTTCACTCAAGAATGTGTCTTTATTGAAGAATTTGTAAGAAATAAGGATGAACCCTCTGTAAAAAGAGATGTTGCCTCCAAACAGCAGGGAGGAATGAGAGACCTGGGTGGCTTCCCAGAAGTCCGCGTTCCCAGCACGACTAGCCCCCCGTTCCTGGCGAGCCCAAGTGTGCCACACCACCACTAGCAGCTGCGACCCACCCCTCCCCGCCTCTCCTCCCTGTCCCACGACCCTGGGTCCCCTACAGCCATGTGCTGATGGCATTTTGAAGGTCCAGGGATAGATGTGCTAGTCTTGCCTTTTAATGGGGTCAAAATGGATTTGCTTTGGAAAATTCAAACAGGAATGTAAAATGGTTGAGCTCTTTCTAGTCCAACCAAAGATGACTATATCCGCCCCCTTAGAAGGGAAAGGGAGCAAAGGGTTTCCCTCCTGAATATACACACTTACGGGGTAACTGGACTGTATCACAGTCCGCTCCTCACTAGCCTGGAGAGCGGAAACAAGGTTAGAAGAATAGGTAACATCCGTGAGAAAGAGTCACTCAGTTCTAGAGGACAGAGGGGGCACTGAGGCTTCTGACTCCAGCCGGCGCCCCTGCTGCCTGCCCTGAAGTCCTGGAGACGGTCACTCCTCTCCAGCGGGGAGATTGTCCTCAATCCTCCTGATGAACCGCATCCGGATTTCTGTCACACCGTCTCCTTTCAGGGTGTCCTGGACAAACTTGGCCTCCACAGCCATCTGGACCTGGGGGACAGTGGGAAAAATGAAGGGGTGGCTGCCTAGCTGCAGCCTCTGGGGAACCACTGGGGCGAGATCTGTGACGGGCTCATTCACAGCAGCCAACAAAGGGGGTTGCTCTCCCACAGGACAAGACTGTCAACCCCAATGTTCCCTCATAGAAGGCAGTGGCCCTGACCCCCAAGGAGAGACTCAGTGAAGAACACACCCGAGTGAGACTGGCACCACGTAAAGTCAACCTGGGAGTGGACGTTCTGGGCTTCGGTGCTCACGGCATGTCTCCCAGTCTAGCAGGGAGGCTCGTCACCACGGAGAGACGTCCGGCTCGCATCCCATGCTCGGCAGCACCACCACCTCGCGCAGCGAAGTGCCAGGTGAGCCACAGGCCTTTCTTCTTTCCCCCTCTCACTCACGCAAACATTTTACCAAGCCCCTGCTACACTCCCGGTGTCCCAGGGGGTAAAGAGCTGCACTCACCATCTCCAAGGCTCCCCGCAACACCCCACACAACAGATTGGAATAGATAAGGGATGAGTGGTTATCAGGAAGTTCCACAAAGTCCACCAAGGGGTTATTTTCCAAAATCAGGGAGAATTCGTCACCAGCTGGACTCCAGTTGGTGATGCTTGGCGTGATGCCCAAGTACATTTTGAACGCCACCTGTCGGGGGACACAAGAGAGCACTATGGGAAGAGCAATAGGGGCTGTACAATAGGGAAGGTGACGGCCTGGCAAAGGGGAACCAAGTGGCTCAGGAACAAAACGGTGGCCTCTGTAAGACACTGAAGCTTTAGGTTTTCAGGGGGAAAAGGCATCCGTGCACAATTCCACACCCCGCCCTTGCACACAGGTGGGCAGCAATTTGCTGTCCTGCACTTAACGGAGGGGAGCAGTGACCTTCTGAGTGGGGTGCTACCTGAGCCCTTCTTCTTGAACGGGAAAGCAGGCCTGGGGCAGAACCACTCTGCAGACGTCCTTCCCTCCATCCACCCTCCTAACTCCAAACCCTCACAGAACTCTCCGCCGGACTTCGGCAAGGCGAACACGCCGTACATCAGAAAGGACCAACCTTTAGGTGACTGACACTACAAAGCTACAGGTGTTTCACCATTTATTATTACTCCTACATTAGACGACACTAATATTAACAGCAAACATTTACTATATGTACACTACATTAAGTGCACTGGTTTTACCTGAACGCTCATGTTTTTTAATTTACTCTTTACAACAACCCTGTGAGGAAGCTCTCCCTTTCCTCATACGAAAGATGAGGTAACTGGGCCCTGGCCGGGTGGCTCAGTTGGCTGAAGCGCCGGCCTGCGCACCGAAGGGCTGCGGGCGGAACCCCCGGGCAGGGCTCCAACCTGGGTTGCAGGTTTGATCCCCAGTCGGGGTGTGTACGGGAGACAATCAATCACTGTTTCTCGGCTGACGTTTCTCTCTCCTTCTCCCTCCTCTCTCTCTAAAATCAATAAATATATCCTCAGGTGAGGATTATAAATAAGTAAGCAAGCAAATAAATAAGTAATAACTTGTAATTAAAGGGTAAAAAACTAAGTTACCTAAGAGCTAGTAAGTATGGGCATCAGAATTTGAAGCCAGGTGTGCCTTATGCTCAGCTGCCACGCTGCTCGGCTGCGTCTTCCCGGCTGAGCCCTGGCTGTGATCTCACTGTCGCTTTAATCCACAGGGGTGATCCCAGACACTCTTTCCTTTTTACATAGTTTGTCCTACTCCCAAACCTCCAGGAAGGCTTCTTTGGCCCAAACAGCTGCCTAACTAGTCTTTTCAAATCCTAAGGGCCTCTCTAAGGGAGAGGGGCAGAGTGGTAAGCTGTGCCTCCCAAAGACAATCTTTCAGCCTGGCCAACTGGCCCAGGATAATGACCTTGGCAATGACATCTGCCGTTTCCCGAAAGTCGTGGCACCTCCCCACATTAGATCGTGCCAAGAAATCTTCAATCAGCCGAACTCCAATGTTATAGCCCCTGGGAAGGAAATGAGAAAACAGACTATATTACGGGCTTTGACTGTCTTATATGCTGTACATGAGGCTGTCAGTGGTAAAAGAAAAACAGAGATAATTCCAAAACATCCCAATAAATGAGCTCAGTGGGAACCAAACGTCGGTTATGAGAGACTGGGCCCTGTTCTGAGCTCTAGCGGGCCACGTGGACTCAGGTACTGGGGAGCCCCGTTCTTGCCTCCTTTGCAGAGGAGCTCACTCACATTTTGTCCAGCTGTTTGTTCACATCTTCATCGTTCTCATAGTCCTTGCACAGCTGGGTGACCAGAGCCCCATAGGTCAGGGTGAAGAGCTCAGAGCTCTGAAAGAGATTCAAAAGGCCGTCAGGACCAAGGTGCACAAAAGAGAGAGTCTGGACTGGCCTCAACGCAACTGTCGGGATTCAAAGGAAGGTCACCCATGTCTGGTAGGAGAAAACATCATCCCCTACAGAGTGGCCAAGGAATCTGATTCCCCAGGGTCACCAGGGCAGGGCTGCGGCCAGACCTGCCATGAAACAGGCTGTAAAAGGCTCCCCATGCACTGAGCAGTCACTCTTCCGACACTTGCCCAAGGTGGGCTTCTGCCAACCCACCGTCCCCTACAGCTACCGAGCCTGAGCTCCAGTCAGCAGAACCTAGTGTGGCAGCGGCAGTCACTCACTAGATCCTGTGAAAGACAGTCCCAAAGCCAACACTCACAAACGGGGCTCTGCGGGTTAGCAGGTGTGACCAACACCCTCCCCACACCCTGCAGCGTCGGCGGTATCTGGCCTGGAGCTAAACTGCACTCCCGGGGCCCCGCCTGGGAGCGGCAGAGGCCCCGGGGGTCCTCTCCAGGGGAAGCACGAAGTCCTAGATGAAGTCCACTGCACGAACGACACCCCCTCTTCTAAGTCACCAGCATGGGAACAGATTATGTTCCTTCTGATGCACAGCTAGAACGTTTCCAGGAAAGGGGGTAACTCGGAAAGGAATACAATCTTTTGTGCACCTGGAACACAATACTGACCTCGACTGGCTTCCATTATAATCACAGTCAAAATCACAAAAACTCTTTCTCAGGTGAAGAAACCAAGAAACAGATGTGGAAGGTAAAAAGAACGGCGAGACCCAAGACAGATGAAAAACAGAGTGGAAGCAGCAGGTCGGGGGAAGGCCCCGTCAGAGTCAGACGAAGTGAGAAGTGTGCTAACAGTTTACCCGGACGGACGGATCCAGACAGATGTAAGGCTGAAAAGTCAAGACGGCCACTCACCCACTCCCTCCTGAGGGGAGGCCTGTCAGATTGGGGCAGAGCTGAGTGTCCTGGGGAAGAACGTCCCAGGGTCTCAGGACCCAGAGCTCCCCACCTTGTCCCCACCTCGCCCCCGTGGCCTGGTGGAGAGGTCACTGCAAGAGTAACAATGTGAATGCCTTTTGCTTACACACTGCGTTCTGGTTTTCATCGCGTCGTTTCCCACCCGCAATAACTCTGTAGAGCAGAAGGGCAGGAATCAATCTCATTTTAGAGATGAGGAAACCGAGGCTCAGAAAGGTAAAGTAATTTGGCCAAGGACAAACAGCTAAATACTTTGTAAACATTCTCTTTATTTATTTTTAGAGAGAGGGGAACAGAGAAGGGGAGAGAAACATCCATGTGTGGTTGCCTCTCGCATGCCCCCTACTGGGGACCTGGCCCATAACCCAGGCATGTGCCCTGACTGGGAATCAAACCAACATCCTTCCACTCAAAGGCCAGTGTTCAACCCACTGAGCCACACCAGCCAGAGCCAAACAGCTAATTATTGACTAAAGTAATCTGGGGGGTCAAGAACCAAGAGTTTCTAAGCCATTGTTCATTCTACACACTGTTCCCCACAACTGCAATATTAATAAGCCCCCCTAAAACAAAACAAAACATTTCACTGCACTGGGAACTCAAAGAGAACCAGTTTCAGAATCAGGAAGCTCTTTAAAATCAACTAAAACAGTCAGATAGGGTGTCTCCAAGAGACCATTTACCAAATATGGCAATTAAGGAGAAGCTATTAAGGAGGAGAATGATTTTTTTTAGTAAAGTTAAGGTTTGGCACTAGAATGGCTTAGGCATGAATGGATGGAAGCAATCCAGCAGTAACCAGTCCATAGACTTGGCCTCATTGCATTAAGTCAGGAGAGCTTTCCTTCCATTATTAATGAGCCCTTGGACAGAAACTTCCAAGAGCCGCAGCCCACCATGGTGCCAAGTAACAAGCATATCATGATGTTATCAAGCTCCTTATAAATGCAACAGCCCCCAATTTACTGATAAGATAAATCAGCCCTGGCTGGTGTGTCTCAGCAGATTGAGCCCTGGCCTGTGAATGAAAAGGTTGCCAGTTCAATTCCCAGTTAGGCACATGCCTGGGTTGCAGGCTTAGTCCCCACTAGGGGGCGTGAGAGGCAACCAATCAATGTACCTCTTGCACATCGCGGTTTCCCTCCCTCTCTTTCTCCCTCCCTTCCCCTCTCTCTAAAAATAAATAAATAAAATCTTTTTTAAAAATAAAAATAGTAATAGGGCTGTAGTATAGGAAAAAAAGCATTCAATGTTTACTATGTACCAGGCACTATATAATTGGAGGGAGACAGATAATGAACCAAATTAATAAAATACACGGTTTGCTAGACAGTGGTAAGTACTGTGGAGGAAACTAAGCACAAAAGGAGATTAGGGGGTATTTATGTTCACACATGCGCACACACATGTCAATTCTAAATGGGACAGTCCGAGAAAGCCTCCTTAAGGCGTTATCTGCAAAAGAACTGGCAGAGGTAAGGAAGGGTAGGCATATCCAGGTGAAAACATTCTGAGCAGCGAGTGCAAAGGCCCTGAGGCGGGAGTATGCTTGCCCTGCCCGAGATACAGGAAACTAGTGTGAGCGGAGAGCTGTGGACAGAAGAGAGAAGTGGAGAGGAGGTCAGAGAAGTCAAGAGGAGGCTGCAGAACCTGAAGACCTGGGTGTTCAGTTCTGTGGCCCTTATAACGAAAGGTTCCGTGGGACCTTAAAGGCCAGCGATCTCAACCAGTCCGATTTCTTCAGCCAACCTAAGTACCACATTCCCCCTCCCAACAGAAACATGAATCTCTTCTGCAATGCTTCTACTTTGATTGCTTTAATTATGTTTAACAAAAATGGTCATCAAATTTATAAAACTTTCAGAATGTCTTCACAGTTTCTCACTGTTCCTCATAACAACCATGAGAGGTCAGCAGAACAAACAGTACATATCCCCACTCTACAGGTGACAGTTTAAGTAACTGAGACTCCGTCTCCCTATAGTTGAGCCCTGTCCTGTAAAAAATGATATGACCCTAACCCAGGGCTCAGCCTCTCTGAATTTCAGTTTTTCCTGTTTGTGCGACGGCAACAATACCGTCTGCCCTGCAGGTTACTGGGGGATTCCAACACGTGTGTAGCGTGCCCAGGACACAGTTCGAACTCCAGTAGAGATTTTTATTCTTAAACTGGTTCTCTGCGGTGTGGTGCCAGACAGCACCCTGAACTAGGTTCAAAGATGGAGATTTTGAATCAATATAAAGACCTTGGTAACAACCAATAGGGCATATAGAAAGAATATTTGGTTTGTAGTCAGAAGACCTGCTTCTGAGTCTGAACTTGCCGCTTATTACATGCGAGACTTTAGGTCGGTCACTTTGCTTTGCTAAACCTCGACCTCCTCCCACAGGTCAGTCACAGGAGAACCTGTCATGCCAATACTTGGGAGGATCTAATGCAGTGGCCCCCAGCCTTTTTGGCACCAGGGACCAGTTTTGTGGAAGACAATTTTTGCCTGGACCAGCGGGTGGGTGGATGTTTCAGGATGATTCATTATGTTCGAACTCACCTCCTGCTCTGCGGCCTGGTTCCTAACAGACCCTGACCAGTACTGGTCCACAGCCCGGAGGTCGGGGACCCCTGATCTAATGGGCTTAAAAGCTGCTTGGCAGACCAAGAAACCGTAGGAGTGCTTTCACACCCACACAGCCAATATGCTCTCCAAGGACTCCAGGCACAATCTGAGCAGAGAGTTAAGCCAAGCCTTACACACAGGTGAGCTACTACCCTCGATGGTTTCCAGAAGGCTTTTTAATTAGTACCCCCAAACAAAACATCGAATCTCCTTAAGGGGGCTGATTTTTGGAGCTAATGCTCCAAGAGTCACACTTCCTATTTTTGTCAACACCAGTAATCTAGTGTGACTGCCCCTAGCAGCTGGGGAAGGAAGGCCAGTAACAGGACTGAGTCCCTGCCTGTCTGCCTCTCCAGCAGCCTGTCATGGCAATTCTGAGCGCTGCTACAAAGTAGTAATTCACCTGAGCTCTGGAGAATAGAGCACTGGGGAGGGGTTACTAGTAACACAACACAAAAGGAGGGCAGGCCTGACGGTCCCTGAGATTCAAGAACCAAACAGTAGACAGACACACGAAGGCTAATATCTCTACCAATAAAAATCCTAGCTGCCATTTGCAGAGTGTCAACTGAGTTCTTAGGTGCAGTGTCACACTGCTCACTTCGCATGCGTTATGTACCTCAACTAACCCTCAGAACATCCCTATGACGTAGATACTATTATTACCTTATTAAATTTATTTTTAAACCTGGTGAAACTGATGCTTAGGACAGTGAATAACTTGCCCAGGGTCACACCGCAAGCAAGCAGTGAAGTCAGGACTCCACCCCAGCCAGTACTGTGCCTGTGCTGGTCCTTTCTGACCCTCACGGAGCACGTGCTTCCCCAGTTAGGGACTCGCACTTCATCCCGGCATTGCCCACCTTCCCTGCCACTGACTTTGCATATGGTTGGGAATCAAGAAAAGTTTGCTACACAAATGGTCTGTTTTTCCTTGGGCACACTAACCCTTTAAGTCTTGCAAGGCTTATGTGGGAACACAGCAATCAGAAGACTGCTGACTGCAGAAGACTGGGCTGACTGGGAAGAGGGCTGTTCGAGGTGGGGACTCCCCAAGCAGAGAAGAGCACGGGAAACCAGGTGGCTACAGAGAGGATCATGTGACAAGCCCCAAGTAGGTACCAGCAGGAACTGAATGAAAAGACATACCCAGCCTTCATGGCGTTCATTCAGTAAATATAGACTGCCTGGTGCCAGGCATCGTTCTAGGTGCTGAGAATGGAGCAATGAACAAACACTCCTACTCTCATGGAGTCTCCATTCTCATGGGGGAGACTGAAAATAAATAAGTAGATATATAATTTATAATGAAACACTTAAAATGAAATAGTGCCATGAAGAAAAAAGGAATAGAGTAAGAGAACAGAAAACTACTCATATGATCAGGGAAGGCTTGGGCACTTCCCTGATCTGCCGAGGTGACATTTGAGTAATTGTGCATGAAGTGACTACCTGGGGAAAGGGACTTCCAAGCAGCAACAGCAGCTGCAAAAGCTTTGAGGCAGAAGTATGCTGTTGGGCCTCCACAATTCCCTCACTTAACAAAGCTGAATGGATACTGGGGCTGGGGCTAAAGATTGCAGGTCCCTACTAAAGCGGTATCAAAGACTGCAATATTCATTTCAGGTAAGAAAAAAGATGTACAAAACAAGAGCAGGTTATGAAAACTAAGCAGGAAGTTCTGCTCCTAAGGAGGAGGTAGCCCTGGCTGGTAGCTCAGTTGGTTAGAGCATCATCCTGATACACCAAGGTTGTAGGTTCAATCCCTGGTTAGGGCACGTATAAGAACCAAGCAATGAATGTATAAATAAGTGGAACAACAAATCAGTCTCAATCTCTCTCTCCCCCCACCTCTCTAAAAGCAACAATTTTTTTAAAAAAAAGAAAACTTAAAAAAATAAAATAAAGCCCTGGCTGGTGTGGCTCAATGGATTGAGTCCCGGCCTGCAAACCAAAAGGTTGCTGGTTCGATTCCCAGTCAGGGTACATGCCTGGGTTGCGGGCTGGGTCCCCAGTTGCGGGGTGTGTGAGAGGCAACCACACATTGATGTTTCTCTCCCTGTCTTTCTTCTTCCCTTCCCCTCTGAAAGTAAATAAATACAATCTTTATTTTTTTAAGATTTTATTTATTTATTTTTAGAGAGGGAAGAGAGGGAGATAGAGAGATAGAGATAGAGATAGAGATAGAGAGAGAGAGAGAGAGAGAGAGAAACATCAATGTGCGGTTGCTAGGGGTTATGGCCTGCAACCCAGGCATGTACCCTGGCTGGGAATCAAACCTGGGACACTTTGGTTCCCAGCCCATGCTCAATCCACTGAGCTATACCAGCCAGGGCAATAAATACAATCTTAATAAAGTAAACTAAAAATAAATTAAAAAAGAAAAAGAAGCAGAAACATATACCATACCCCATGCATGTTATACTGAAATCTCATTTAATCCTAACTGGGCATTACTATCCCCATTTTACAGATAAGGAAACTGAGGATCAGTTGAAAAAGACAGTATTCCAACCAAAGCCCATGCTTTTTCCCCTACATGACAGTTTCCTAGCAAAATATTTTTCTTCTTTGTTTAAACTCTTGCTATATCCTCCAGAACAGAAATTTTTAACCTGTAATCTATCCCCCTTAGGGGGCCCACAAATCCCCCTAAGATGTAAGTAAATGTCTGTGCATATGTTTTTCTATTCAATATTTCTGGAGAGAAGATCCATGATGAACACCTCAGCTTCTCAAAGGGAGTCTGAGGAAAAGTGCTCCTCAGGAGTAACAGGGCCTCCCGCAGCACATTTTTGGTGGCTGTTCCTGGTGTAAGACGCAAAGGTCTGGGGAAGTTTAGCCATCCCCTCTGGGTCTAAGTGTCAACAAAGGCCCCCATCTGCCTAGCGTGCAACCCTGGACAACGTGACATTCTGGGGGAAGTAAAAATACGTCAAAGAAAAGGAACACTTGCCCAGAAGTCCCCTTAGTTTGGAGGAAAATGTCATCTAGTTTATTTCCCAGGCCCAGACCCTACCCACAGTCAAACTTGATGGGACTCTATGGTGTCTCACTATTCCCAGGATTATTCCTTTCCTAAGGAACCTCCCCTTACCAGAGGGGCGCCACTTACTGCCTACGGTGGCCCACCTCTTACTCCACCGAACATAAAGTTGCTCTCGGGCAAGACCACTATCTGATCATCTCTTCCCAGGCCAAGGCAAGTGTGAGAGGCAGTATGGCCTAGAAGGCTGAGGTATTATTAGCTTTGGAGTTAGAAACATGGGTTCGAATCCTAATCCCTCCTACCTGTAAATCTGGGCAAGTTACATAACCTCTCGGAGCTGGAAAATGGCAACAGTATAACCCATCTGAAAGTACTATTTGGCAGATTAGATGAGATAATATAGGGAAAGTGGCTGGCCCAGTGCCTTACACAAAGCAGAGCAATCAGAGCAATCGGTGGTTATTACTGTTATCACCGTCGTTGTTGTTGGCCTAGCACACAGCTGCACAGCTGCACTCAGGCCGTGGGGTAGGGGTCTCTGAGCTACCCCAGCGGCCCTCCTAACCCGCCTGAGGCCCGGGACGCCCCCGGGCTCTCCCCTCTCAAACCCCCAAGCAGCCTCCGTCTTCCTCCAGCGGAACCACTCCCCTCCCAGAGCTCAGAGGAGGGCCCTTCTCAACAGCGCCCAGCGCCGGGCCCCTTCCCCAGAATGCTTCTATTCTGCCCCGCCCGCCGAAGTCACACGCTCCGAGTTACCATTTTCTTGCTCTCTGTGCCACGATTCGCCTGCCTCGACATGGTGCCGGCCGCCCTCCCCGCCTTGCCAAAGGCCCACTCGGCGACCCCTTCTGACACAGTTCAACCCAGCGGCGGCCCCTCAGCCTTCCGTACTGACCGACAACGGCTCACTGCGCCTGCGCGGTCCGCCGCAGGGCACCACGGGATTCGTAGTCCGGCGAAGAGGTTAACTTTCTCCCGCCCCTTCCCGATGAACGTCGGGTTACCACACCCAACGGCCCCGCAGGCAGCAACGCCCATTAACGCATCTGGACTACAACTTCCAGAGTGCTTCGCGCGCGGCTAACTTGCAAAGTCTGTCTTCCCCCAGGCTGCATTCTGGCCACTGGGTGGCGTCCGCACCTTACAGCAATCCTGTATCATCCACACTTCCCCCTAACTCCTCCCGCCCCCAGCCCCCACTTAGATATGCTCTGCAAATTCCTCTCTTGCCGGGTTTGGTCTCGGAAAGTCCCTCTTTGCAACTAGCTTCTTATGCTGTTGCTGCAATTCAAAGCTAAATCATGTCAGGTTGTCCTAAAAACTAGCAATGGTTCACATGCAAATCTGGCCTCTTCATTACAAAAATGTTTAGTGACCACCTACTACGTGTCAAACATTTTGCTACTTTCTTTTCAAACTGCCATGCGTCCTCAAACCCGAAATACAGCCAGCATCTGCACCCTACCACCTGTGACCTCCTGCTAGTATATCCAGTGTGTTAGATAAAGTTCAGGTCACTTTCTCCCTGCTCCCCACCCTAGAACAAGTGCACTGTTTGGCTTCCAGAAAAGCTCACTAGTGTTGGTGGCAGTCAGTCCTGGGTTATAATCCCAGTTTCGCCATTTTAGGCAAGTTGCTAGTTCTCTCAGTTGTTATGAAGACTGGTGAGCAGTGTATGCAGAGCACTTGGGCGCAAAGTAGGCACTCTCTAAAAACAGGCCCCAGAAACACCAGGGGAATGTGCTGGCCACACCCTCACCCATGACCAAGGGGAACTCCTACAGTCCCTGACCAGAGTCCTTTGGTTTCAGCTCCAGCAACTGTTGTTCCCTGGCTGGTCAGTTCTGAGGGGCAGGGCTGGAGTAGCTGAACACCCTCTCCTCACTTACCCCTGGTTGCCTGACTTTACAGCAGCTGCATTCTAGCCCCTAGCCTTCACCATGACAACCAGCCTGTCCAGACTCCAGCCAAATGGGCTGGGAAAGACTGGGGGGCAGGGGGGCTCAGGCTTCTCAGGCTGAAAGCCAGTGCCCAGGATTCCCCTGGTCTCTACCTCCCAGTACAGGACAAATCATTACTATACTCCGCTCTCTGTGGCACAGACATTCTGGGGCCTCCCCGGAGACAGAGTGCCCCTTGACTCTTCCTCCTGTGTCAGTGCCTAGGGAAGAGGGCCAAAGGCTGAGGGTTTGGGGAAGGAAAAGAGGGGGCGGAGTGGGGAAAGCAGGGGTCAGCTAGCCCCCAGAGGCCAGCACGGCCAGAGAAGAGCATCCCCCATTCCCAGGAGAGAGGACAGCTGAGGTGAAAGCTGCAGTTGGCTGGCCTGTCGGTCTGGGCTCCTCCCTGCCGGCTGCCTTTGGCTGCCCACAGAAACCTGAGTCAGAGTCACGGCCAGCCGCCCGACCCCACCCAGCCTGCTGTCAGGCGGGGAGGTTCTGGAGAGACGGGAGGTGGAGCCTCTCCTTGCTTGTCTTCCAACCTCTGAGATTCTTCTCTCTGACCCTGATTCGTCCTCTTGGCACCTTTTTCTTTGGGACTCCACAAAATGTCAAGAGTCTTGAATCGAGGGTGGGGTGGGGTCCATCTCAGGCTAAACTGTAGGATCTCCTGGCTTAGATGGGAATTCAAAGGCTCCTTAGCCAGCCACTCCAGGGGCTCTTACTAAAGCTCCCATCATTCTCCCAAATCCCAATTCCTCTCCATCACCCCTCAGGGCCAGGACATTTAGAAACACTAGGTTCTCCCCCCCCACACCCACCCCCCATCTCCTTCTCCCTATTACACAGCAGGGACAGCTTCCCATCCCTATCAAGGGCTTTAGACAAGGACCTCTTCCCAGGAATCTAAAAGGTTGAACTTATTTAGCCTTGGGTCTGAGTTTCCCCCCATCCAATCCCTCTCTGTTCTACCAGCTCCCCAAGAGCTGGAGGAAGGCCTTATTGCAGCTGATGACACCAGCGCCCTTGAAGACATTCTCTACCTCCAGCACCACGGAGTGGGCCCTAGGGGCTATGGCTCCTCAGGAAAGCAGCCTGGGTTGGAGACCCATTGGAGCAGCAGTACCTTGGGGGTGGAGTAGGAGAATCTGATGTCTGTTCTTCCCAGTTGTCCCCACCCCACCATGAGGCCCCTCCCACTTCCTACTTTGTGGGTGAGAAAACAGCCTCCAGGGCCTGTCTCCTGATTCATATCCTCCTGTCAAATCTCCCAGTGATTTCCTTCACCCCTGCATCAGGTTCACCCTGGACCCTGCCTCACCAAACCTAAGAAGTTGTATAAACTCCTGCCCTCTTCATAAAAGGATCATAAAGGGGACATATTTCTGATCCCCATTCAGTGACCTGCCCCCCCCTCCAGCCTGTGGTGAGGCCAACAGCTCATTCATTCCTGTTTCCATAGAGGGGGAGGGGACTGCCCTGGGCGGTAGGGGAAGCACTGAAGAGGCCACAGAGTTCCCAGCCGGTCACCTAGGAAGTCACGGCATCCTGTTGGAGCTTTAACTCTTTAGCTCTTTAGCTCGGGATGTTACAAGTGTCCCCACTTACTTCTTCAGAATTTGTAATGTTTTTTGGAGGGAGGGGGGCATGTGGGGCCCCTCAGGTACTGTCACTCAGACTCAGAGACACCCACCCTAAACTCCCTCAGTGGCGAGGCCTGGGATGTGCTGTGGATCCTGGTCAGTTATGGGGAGAATGGAGAGAAGTGCACTCCATCTCTCTCTTCTGATTGCAGCTATCACAGAACACTGGTGGTCTCCAGGCTCCATCCTCCCAGTACTCGCTGGGGCCCCCTCTGCACGGAGGAAGCCTCCTGAGGCTGGGCAGGGAAAACTGTGTGGCAAGTTGTCTAATGCCCTGCTGGTCCACACCACTAGCATCTCGCAGGTGGCCCCACCCTCAGTCTAGGGAAGGGCTCCTCAACCTTGGCACCAGTGATGTCTTGGGACCTGATGATTCTTTGTTCTGAGGGCAGTCCTATGCATTGTAGGACGTTAAATGGCATCTCTATCATCTAAGCACTGGATTTTAGTAACAGCCCCAGTTGTGACAAAAGTGCCTCTAACATTGCCAAATGTCCCATAGGGGGCTAAATTGCCTCTGGTTGGCTATCACTGATGGAGGCTAATACCATGCACTGTCTCTTTGCAGTGAGCTCCACAAAGTCAATCTCAGATCCTTGGACCCAACAGAGGGTTTCCAGTTCTATAGCACTGCTCACCCTCCCCTTCTGAAGACTCTTCAGCAGCTCTCCATGATCTGCATCCTGTAGCTCACAATGCCCACTGGCACTCAAACCCATCCCTGGCCTATCTTTTCTTTTTTAGCTACCATTTCCCCCTCCACTATTTCTGAGCTCTAGCCAACAAGGGCATCTCACTTCTCCCACCTACACGTCTTTGCCCTGAGGTCAGCTCAAGAGCAGAGGTGGGAGGCAGAGGAAGAAGCATCTCTGATGGCTCTCCCTCTGGTGGGTTCTGTTCATGAATTCTCCTGAGTCTAGTTGCTGCCTGGCTCAGGGTGGGCCTGTCCAGCTCTGGAACATGCAGGTCTTGAGGCCTCTCTGACCTCACAAAGGACAGTCCTGGACATCACCGTTAGCACAGTCCCCCACCCTCACCCTGCAGATGGGAGGACTGCTCACAAAGATTGGGGCGTCTGCTCCTTGTCACAATGTGCTTTTGCCTTTGAAGCCCCACCACCATCATCACGCCTATTTATTAAGCATTTCCTGTATGCCAGGCTCTGTGCTCAGCACTTCATCTGTGTTACAGTATTTTTCACCTTTTCCAACAACCCCACGATACCCTGTCATTCCATTATTTTCCTGACTTTATAGAAGAGCAAACCGGCTTTCAGAAAAGTTAAAAGACACTAGTTTAAGGTTACCCGCTCCACCTGCAGGCTTTCTATCAACTTCTGCTAATGATTTTGGGCTGGAGGGAGAACTAGTCCTTCCCCATCCCCTCCCCCAGGGAGCTCAGGCCCCGGAGTTACTTACTCCTCCCGAAACCCAGACCCCTTTGTTCTCTGCCCTCCTCCCTGAAAGGGCTGCTCTCTGGAGCTGCTCAAAGGAAGGGGACATCGGCGGGAAAGGGGGGCAGGAGAACAACATCTCAATGGGCCTAATCTCTGGACAATGGAGACCCGGAGAACTGGAGAAATGACCTTCTAGAGTTCAGGACAAAGGGCAGGGCTGGGGTGGGCAGGCCCAGTTGCACCTCCTCCCTTGCTCTGTCAATCTCTGCAGCACCACCATCATCGATCCACCTTCCCAGCAGGCTCCCCCTTCTCTGCCCAGCATTCGCCTGACTTGGCTGGAGGCCCCACCTCAGCTGGCACTAACGGGATTTGGGGCATTCACTCCGCAGGGCAGGGAAGTGGGGTTCCTTGTGGGAGGGGAGTCAGAAGGGGCTCAGTCACTCCATCAACAGGCCACAGGGGAGAAAATTCTTCCTAGAATCGACAGGGTCTTCTGACGAGGGGTGGGGAGGTACTGGGCCAAGACCACCCAGTATGGAGCTGGGAGGGACCCAGCAGATTAGAGACCTTGGTAAGGCAGTGATGCAAGCCTGTAATTACCCGAGAGAAGCAGGGAAGACACCAACCGTAGGATGCTGCAAAGAGATAGCCTAGCCCATTTAGGGGTCTCCCTGTGACCCTCCTTCAGGATTTTATTTGAGGTCGGCTTGGGAGAGAATTTAGACTTGAAGCTACCGCCAAGGCCCCAGAGCCTGAGCTCCCAGGCTCCAAGGTGGGACTGGGGGCTCCCAGCTCCGCTTCCCCCGCCCAGTCCTAGCGGCGGGTGAGTCACCAGAGCGCTCCCTACATAGTCCTCTCGCGCGGCAGCGCGTACCAACGCACGGCCGCAGGGGGAGGCAGCTCGATGCGGATCCTCCCGCAGGCTTAGTGTTCCC